GTGTAAGAGCTGTTAATTGTTGACGGATTTTCTTTCGGCTCACCAAAACTTCTACTGCAGAACCCTTTTCCACAATCCGATGTGTAAATCTGTAACTTTGTACCATTATCACCGTTAATTTCATTGCTGATACGTTAATTTTGTGGATAAAGAACCAGAAAAATGATAAAAGTTTCGATGATAAAGACTAAATTACATCCTAAGCCGTTAAATAATAAGCAGTTGAGTAAAAATGGAATATAGTACAAAAAAGTGCTTCATTTTCAAACAGATATTACTATTAACTTTAAATCTGACCAACAGCTTGATTAAATGGAATAATCCGGTAACCAGCATTGCAAATATTTTTCGATAATCAGATCTATTCCTGATTTAATTCACACTTCGTTTCAAGAATATGGATAATGCTAACAACAGCTTCCCAAGATAAGTCCTAACAATATCCTTGACATACTACCATTTCTAAATTGTGCTGTCAGATATACTTACGCGACAGCATCAGCAATTTTCACGGTGGTGACATTAACTCGTCGATTTAGATTATTCAGATCGGTTTCCTGATCATCGCGTGATTTATCTAGTTTACGTAACAAGTGCTCCTTCATTGCATCCAATGCTTTGTGATACTCACTGAACGTATCGTCTATTTCTGCTTTAATTACTTCATACTGCTCAGTAAGAATGCGCTGACGAGCTGGTACGGAATTACATGCAGCTTCTACAGTTTTTGACTGCAAAATACAATTTTAAGTAATGTCATCCGACGAATCAAAATCTAGTTCCAATAAAATGGATCAAAAAAGAATGGTAGACCAGAAAGCAATGAAGCCAGGTCTTATGCATAACAAGCATTTCTGGGATTAATCAGTAATGTCATTTATTCCCTTCTACAAAAGGGTTGACATATCAGTGTCCCGCATAAAACTGGATCAGTAGATTGTGTGGAAAAAAAATAGAATTCGCAGAATAAATTTTCATAGCTAATATACAAGTATAACCTTAGCTTCCGCCCCATTTGCAATATCCTTTAGTTCGAGCCTGACCAGATTAGCAACTGTTTCATCGATATTTACCAAATTATGGTGTCGGATGTCCGCATGCTCAGCATGGCACTGTCCACAAATCGGTGATTCACAAGTGGCACAGAGAAGTGAATATGGCATTTGGGGATGCAACACACACATCACTGGATCACGGGGTAATTCCGATGGATTCTGTGCCAATTCCGTATAAGTTAATACCTAAGCACATATATTTCATGCTATAAAATTTGATGTTTGTATTGCTTAAATCTGTAAATGTGACAAAAGGTACTTGTAACATTACAGTAATCATACCACTCTCCATTTCTAGAAAATGAAACATTGAGTTGCATAATGAAACTCAATTCATACCGTATGCCCATCGAATAATTTCATGTCACGATGTGCTTGATAACAATTCTTGCACAAATCACTTGCACACTGCTTGCATACGGCCATTGCAAGCTGTTCACTCTTACATGCACGACATGTCCGTGCACCTTTTACAGCGCTTACACCATCGACTTCATGTAAGCGAACAAAATCAAGCAAAAGGTGATTCACAAACCGGACGTCATTTCCTACATGGCTTTCCTGAAACATTTTTTATCCTCGCCATTTTTTGAAAAATAACGATCAATCTATATTAAAAAAAAGGATTAAAGTATAAAGAACTAGATACATCTTATAAAAATATGAGGCATATAAGAAGATGAAAAGATAGAAAAAACCCATATCGTATTTATCTAAAATGCCTTTCAAGATTCGTCAGTGCTGGACAAAATGAGCAAGAAATGAATAATACAAGAAAAAAGCATATCACTCTACTAGTTGTATATTAGAGTTATTCGACCGAAAAACTGATTTAGTCACCTGATGGCACGTTGGACACCTAATGACACCCGGTGGCGTTGGCCTCATCTCACATGTGCTTTCTAGTTCGAAATCTATTGTACGCGCAATCCTTGTACGCTCTGATTCACCCTCTCGCCGTCCGTCCAGCTGAGCTATTATGCAGTCTTCACACATTGAATGAAGACAATCCAATACACGTGGCTAAAAATCGACATACATAATTGAATGGCAGAAATTTTAGAGAAGGCACTGTCTATGCCTAAAAATTAAAAGATGAATCGTAGTACTGGTTTGCACATGTCAACTTGATTCACTAACTCATGTTAATACAATACTGACTTTCAGAAATTTGGAATTTCAAAAATTTCATGCTGCATTGGAACTTTCACTGTCCACTTGAGAACATTCAATGAAGCAGTTATAAGTTAGAAATACCACAACGAACAAGTTAATAATCTGGTGAAATCCAAATAAATTGCGATAAATAATAGACTCCAGAAATTTTATAACTAACTCTAATCGAAGAGAGCATATATAACTTAACTACCTTTCTATACTGTTTGCCACAATACGGACAAAGAGAACTGTCAACACTTGGTATCATTCCAACATCAAGTAATGGACTCGGTGATCGCGTCGAATTTACCTCATTTCCCGCCACATTCGCACTGGAAGTTTCTCCCGTATTTTTATCCTCCTTCACTGATGGGGGACTTCCCGACTGCAACAATTTGCCATTGATTTTTTCACCTTATAAACAATCATATTTTATTCAAATCTCATTTAAAGTAGAGAACGTTAGTAATAAAATGTAATTGTATTCTGCTGGAATATATGTCTCACTGTAAAGCAAATTTTGAACTCCTGCACCTCACTTGTCTGGTTCCATCTCCTCCCAATAGAAGGCTTCCGTATTGTTATGGAAATACTGTGAAAGCACTCCAGAATTTTTATCAGTAAGGATAAATTAAATCGAAAATATTAAAATAAAGAACTTATATATCAAAGGAAATACATTCTTATGAAGTTTTAAAAAAAAATCAAATGTTTATGGATTTCTCATAGTACAATAAAGAATCTAAGCAATAAATGTACATGCAAGTAGGATGCAGAACACCAAGCAGTAAGTGTGTGTCATGTTTTCTCTTCCATATTATTATATCCCACACTTATATTAGCATATTATTAGATCCCCTATCCAGTTATTACACTATTTTTTGCAGTGTATCATATCCACGTAATGTATTGTGCTGCATTCCACGAATGATATAATTCTTTCGACTGATTTCCTTCCCCTACATTTTAAAAGCAATTTAAATGTCATACTTTGTCATCTGTAACTCCGAAAATATAACTGTTCTGTTGTTGTGATGAGAAATCTAGCGTTGCTGTAGTTGTTGTTGTAGGTGCTACCACTGTTGTGACAGTTGTCCTACCGTTTTCCTCCATTAATCCATTGGCATACATTTCCATTTCCAGAATCAGACTTCCTCTCTGATCAACCCTTTTTGGATCAGTCCTATACCGGCTGATTTCCTCCTTTAAGTTGTGCGCAATTTATTCAGTGTTTTTTTTGATGCATAAAATGTGAGGCGGAAACCTGAATGAACGGATGGGTATAGCAATTGCAATTTTTACACGTCACACCCAAAAATGATAGCGAAGATTCATTGCAGATGACGGAGTAAACGTACGCCAAATAATATTTCCCCAATCGAGGTAGTAAGCTAAGAGTATACTACCCATTATTACAAAAGGGAAAACATCGATGCATAACCCGAAATCCTTTACTTTTATTTTATAACACCTTCCCCTCACAGTCAGCCGAGGAAGTGATGCAGTTTAAAAGTAAATTACTGAAAATTTTTCGGAATTGGTAGCATACGCAACAGAGAAGGACGGGGATATCAAGCCAAGTGACCATTTTACATAATAAACGATACCTCACATAATTTCACGCAGTGCTAAATGTTCTTACACTAATCATGACTAAATAAAATTTATTCAGCTAAAATTAATCTGATCACCCGGATGCAACAACTGACGGTTTCGAAAAAAGAAAGCCAAAAGGAAGCATTTAAATGTGACATTTGTACTTAGCTAAACAAAGAACAATAAACATACGTCAACGATTCTCACATTACTACCGTTAAATTATGGGTTAACAGATGTGATCTAATTAATTAAACACAGATTTAAAGCAAAGACTATCGCATTTCTATCATCATGTTATGACTTAACTGACCTACGCAGTGCTAGATGGAGGAAGAATTTAAGTCGATCAACACGTCACACTAATTAAATCACTTGATTAAGTGGTGTCAGTGACACTTCCAAAGATGAATTCAAAAAAAGAAAATTGGGCATGAAGAACCATCACAAGTCGATCCAATCACCAACTGTTGCAAAATCTAATTCTAATTAAAGACCACATCTTACCACTTCACCACCGAGAGGAGTATTCAGGAGGCATGTAACGGTATCCACATGGAGGGAAGGAGTACGGTATTGATCGCATCCACTATGTCAAGAACCTCATGCTTATAGCAGCTACAAAGCTTCCATTGAAATTACTTCCGTGTTTGTTGTGTAATGGCAGAAGTGGGGGAGCACATGCTCAAAAGATAGTGAGATTACGTGCTCGGTTGGCTTGAGTTGCGGATAATCGTCAGAATACAGGTAATTGTAAAGCAAGCCAAAGAGAGCAATGGTTCTTCCTAGTGTTAAAGCTCCAGCCTATGACGATTTTCGACGTTTGACCAAGAACAGATTAAATCACTATGGATTCATCAACTCTTGAAGAAATCGTTACAATTTTAATAGATTTTATTGATCGAACACCGAAGAGTGAACATTTTGAAACAAAAAAACATCGACAACAGTAACAGATGGAAGGGTCATAGCTAGGAAATAAGAGAATCTTTAGGAATCGTGATCCGGCGAATTGCAAAGAATATTGGTGAATGTATAAGGAATTATCATGCAAAAATCCTAATTAATACAAAAATATAATAAATGTTGTGGAAGAGCAAAGTGATCTGACTGGTGGACTCAGAAATGAAAAACTTGTCAACATTAAAATCCCCACTGGAGACTGAATTGGTAAAATCTCCAACAAAATTTGACCCACTAAGGCAATATTACATCCTGAAGAGAAAAGTGACGACACTGTGCAACATTCAGGATAGCGATTCCGTGAAATGCATTTGAATTGGTTCGAACTGCAGGATAGCTCAGCATACATTCTTGACTCTTACTAAACAATATTAGGAGTTTTTCCTCCCTAATTTGTCAACTCAAAAACTTAGCAGAAGACAAAGGTAACAGCAGAAGACAGAAGTGCCAGCAAATTTAAAGCTAAGTAGCTTTTACATGCAGATCTGAAAAACAGACCACTTCAATTCCTTTGAAATGTTCTTCAATATCTTTTAATTTCCCGTGCGGCACAGCTATTGCACGGCAGCATTTCTTATCGTCGAACAGATCAAGGAAAAAATTCTTGCTGTAATCTACCACTTCTTTCATCGATGCATTCCAGATACGCTCAGCGTACTCCCTAAATTGAAAAATACAAAGTACTTAAGGATAGAAATACTATCAATCTTATAATTAACAAGGTATTATCATTCTTACAATTAATACCCAATAATAAACCTAACAATTAGAACTCTTTATTCCTTCGCCTTGGAAATTAAGCCTTGCTGAACCTATAGATGATCCTCCTCGAATCTTGATCTACGGGTCTGATTTCGAGCTTATCTTAGCTAATAACCTTCACCAAACAAAAAATACTCCTTTCAATGGTGAATTTCCTTCATTTGCCCACTTGGTTTAACTTAATGAACGCTATCCCAACATCAGCTGATCTAGCCTCATAACATAATACTATTTACGCCATGCTATTGTTATTAATTACATGAATTGATAATGTGCAGGGCATATTGCCATCGTTAGTTCCTAGTCGTTTGACAAACGACAATATTTGGTGCTCTTAGCTTACCGCCAAAATTGAGGTGGTAATCGTCGAAATTCATTGAAAACAGCCCGATGCGCAGCGTTAATTACCGTGTCCTCAGCCTGCACTATCTCCGATACAAAACTTCGTTTTGCTGCTTCAAACTCATTTTCATCCACGTGCTCTAATTCATTGAACTAAATTTTCTGCATCTCGTAAATAGCCGTCATAAACGAATTTCAAGTGATAAGACCTTTTTTAAGATAAAAACTCTAAAGTGACCGTTCTTTCCTCTCAACTCTTCTATTTTAAATATTAACAAATTATCGAATTCTGAATAGTACGCAAGAAAATTCTAACCACAACTTCCTTGGCCTCTTCATAAGCTTGCTCAAGTTGAGCACTCCGATAGATACCAAAACTGAGCAACTCGTTATCCAGATCTACTTCAATACCTACACCATATGCTAAACCATTCCCACGTATCGCTTTATATAAGGTACCTTCTGCTTGTGATAAATACTGAGCAATGAGTTGTACAGCCAATCCTTCTTTACTACCCAGCTGATACTTGAACGGTATAGACTGCAAAGTATTACTTTACAAATTTCTGTTACTGCTCATAGTCTGTTTAACGAATAAAGTTACTGTAGGTTTACTTACCCCAAGCTAGTGTGAAATTTGCTTTGCTATGCAAAAAAGTAGTACAATAGCACGAAAAAAGTGGTACAAGAAGAGTAGAAAGTGAAAATAAAAGTTAAAAACTGTAACATTATAAGGCTAGAACCTAATCAATTCACAAATCCTTTCCATCTGATTATGAATCGATTTTTATGAATTTTATTTTTGAATTCCACCAATGCTGTAGAAACAATAAAATAGCATGGTTTTAATATCTCAAACCGTGATTCACCATACGGCAATCAACATAACTAATGTAAATTTACTATCAATATCACTAACTTCAAAAATAAAGACGAAAATCAGAAAAGAAATCATATCATATGATTCCAGCCAACAGTTATTCTCTGACTTCCAGTTTCAACTTTGAATTTGCACTCACAACCATTGAATATCTCATTCCGATACTTTTCCAATATTAAAATCTGATTAACACTTATTTTCAATTTCTAAGCAGATATTCTACTTCTTGTTTCATAGAAATAATGAAACGAATAAATAAATATACTTGTTTCAGATAGGATGACTCAGTGGAACCAACAGCAATGACACGTTGCTTTCCAAAGTTATCGCATATTACCGCTTCCCCAGGCAAATTCTAAAATTAGTGGAAGAAATCAGTCTGAAAATCATAGATGTAATATGTTTATAATGAGCATCGATGTAGGGTAGTGATGCAGCAAACCGACGGTTTATCGGAATATAGGATGTTAATTTTGAGAATAATGAAAAATATTTGAATGGGAATGTTACAACGTGAATGTGAATATTACAACATTTCTGAAAGAATATGGTAGTAGTCAAAGTTTCGCTTGTTGTTCCGGTGGTTACTTTGGTATGACAAATATTTTCTCGATCACAATAAGTACTCCTTCAGTTACAATACAAAGTTAACTTACTTGGAAACTTGTGGAAAGCTCACATAGAGATTTACGGTCACGATAAAGCCATGCAAGGCTGGTTGGTAAGAAGGGCATAATTTTTTTCGTGTTGCAAATAATGTGCACATTTATCGGAGCATTTATTAGTGCTTCACGTAATTTCTCCAGTTTATCGACAACCTGTAAATGATAGAATAGAATGAGTTTTTGGGCAAACATAAGAAATATTAACATCGTCAGTCGTTTAGTGCTCCTCATCAAATACATTCAAGGATTACCGAATTGGTATGAGATCAAGGAAAAGTAATAGTGAAATGCAGATTCGAGAAGTCGGAAGGTGCTTGGATCTATTTGTAATGGTCTTGCAGAATAAATAATAAGCAAGTCTGTAATTTCTCCATATTCATTTTTATAGGTAATTTGAAGGTGTTTAATCTAAAAATGCTAAAAATTCTATGCAAGAAGTCCAGGATTATCAGACGATAAAAAAGCGCTTACGTAGGTGGGATTTTCTTTAGTTAGCATGAGCAAATTTTTATGGAACTCTTCTAACTGGACCAAACCATAGATATAATCATTACTATCTGTAAAGTGACAAACAGTTTTTGCAAATATGTTATTCAGTATGCTTCTCAATTATATTTCAATTCAGGAGAACGCATTGAAAAAAATATCGCCACTTTTGCGCGATTTAAATTGAATCCTCAATCGTAATTAGTCTTAGCTTAGTTTCAGTTTTCATATCCCGACTTTCGAAAACCCATACCTTTGTGGAACAACGTAGTCTGAAGAAGCGCATTTCGCATTTCACATCCGTCTCGTTTTTCTTCATCAGCTTCGGCAATTAAGCTTTGAGCGGCTACCTTCACACGCTCTGCTTCGAAGATTATCCCTTTAACAAATGTCGTAACCCATGACAACATAGTCACATATCGTTCGGGAACAGCCTAAAATATTTAGATAAATTTTTTAAAATCTTTTTCCTGCAACTCAGAATTTTACTAGAGTTTTTTCAGCACCTTCTTCCATTCCAATTTCACATTTCTAACCCACTCTCCCCTCGTTTCTCCATTTCTAGAAAATGCTGTAAAATAGGTCATTTCTTAAAATGAGAATTCCTGTGAAATAATTCAGATTTGTATAGTTGCTTCGCTTACTTTTAAAGTAAGTGAACAGAATCGCCCAAAATGATTCAAAACACCAATAGATGCGCAATATGATATCAAATCCCGGGTGTATAATTTTGCCATTTCCTCATATGATAATTTCTAAAAAAGCAGATGAGTTCAAAAAATTTTGGAAAATAATTTCTACAAACAATGAGAACAGTACTCAGTTAGTGTTGAATCATGATGAGATATACATGTTTGCAAATTTCAAACGTCTTGAGAGAATATTTTTCATTGATGGAAAGGCAGTGTAAATTCTTAAAAAACTAATGCATCATGACAAGTGACACCATGCTTCTTTACGTAGACCAATGCAAAACCGCGGTTATAACATCAGTATAAGTCTATTGATAATGATCGAATAAATCTGATCACTAAGGTGATCAAGACATATAACAAATTACAGTGACTTAACCTGCAGAAATCTCTCCACCTACGAGATATTTTTCCTTGGTCCAGTATGAATCCCTCAATGACCTAAGCAAATACCACTACCCATTTACGATAACTACCGCTATGAATAAACTAATTCATATTTCATTCAATTCTATAATTTTAAATCCCTTGGAGAAGCTAAATCATCACTTTTTAACTGAATCTCATAAATAAGAAAAAACAAAACACTATCCAAAACGATCTATGTTCAGGAGCAAATTCTAAATAAAACATTACTATAGATAAAATAAACAGATGAACAACAAACACTTACTTTACCCTCCACAACAGCAGGGCTCTGGAACATCAATTCGAAGTAAAGCATCATCCACAACCGCAATTCTAGTGGTATAAGCTTTGTATCCCAAACCAGTATAAACTAAAAAATATTCTTTATCACTCTTGCAAAAAGTACTGCAACAACCACTTACATCGCAAAACAATTAACTACAGTATGCTCCTACTTTAAACCAGTAGGTTACAATATCAACAAAAGAATGATAGAAATTGTTTAATGAAAACGAGAGGCATACCTTAACAAAATGTGTTTCCACACTATGTATATAGACTGGCAGCGGTAACTTGAATATTTCATCATTATTCTGACCTGTCCGTGCATGCAACGTGCGTACATTAAACGTTGCGAAATTCTCTAACTCATGTATCATCATTCCAGAAAGTAGTTCAGGTGAAGGCTTTCGAGCCTGAAATATTTTACTTTACTTGACCGAAAAAACTAAAGCTGACACTATGAGGAAGTGTTATAAACAAAAGTATTTAAGTATCGAAACATTATTCCATGTACTCCGATATCACAGGAATCATTACAATACTGACATGGGATATCCAAGATTTCGCCACAGTGTTTTACAAATATCCTTCAAACCTCACCCATTTCAAAAGAAGAAACTGAATAACAAAGTATCACCTAACTTCTAATAAATTATAGTGATTTGTCGGTACTGAAAAATAATGCTATGATTGCTAAGAAAGAGAAGAAGTCAAACCATTGTTTCATGTTTCGCTTTTTCTAATTCTTCGGCACATCGCCGAAGCCCATCTTTCCCTAACTTTCTACGTCGTTCCTCAATTCGCTTTTTTTCCTGAAATGATAAATGAACTCCGAAGCTGTACAGTACAAAGCAATTCATGACCAAATTATTCAATTAGCACAAACTTAAAGTGTGTCCACCACTCAACAGGACAAAAACCACTCTTCCTCACAAATATCAAATGTTTCATGTATTTCGAACCATTTTAGCAATTTTGGTCACTTCATCTCGAGAAGGAAAACCCATAACACAGACACATTTCTTTGTCAGATACCGACGCGCTAACTTGATCCAGTCTTCAGGTTGCAGTTCCAACATCCTGCAGTACAAGTTTCCTCACCACAATTCAGTTACTTACAATACAACTCATCTACGAAATTCCTAAGCCAGTGAAACACAATAAGCAAAAAAGAAAAAAAAAAAAGAAAAACAATGAAAGATACAAACTTTCGCAATTCCGCAACATGATCTAACCGCATTGGAAGTTCTTTAAAGTTCCCGTAGATCTGATGCATGCACATTATTTCGAAAACAACATTATGACAGTCTGTTTCCATCTGAAACTTATTTTAATACAGTTTAGTGTAGGTATTATTATATTCATCAATAAAGAAAAACACAGAAAGGACATTACGGTTAAACCACTTTCTTCAGATGTAACCTAATCAACAAAGACACTGTAAAGCAGCTTCTCTCCATTATGACAAATAAATGACATGCACTTCAACAGTACACTGCTAATGAAACTTTCACAAAAGACAGACTGTTCACGTTCGAAGGAGAGAGTGAAAGAAAGATAATGTCGAGAATTACTTGCATAGAAGTAATTTTCATAAGATACCTTTGAAAGCTTTTTATCAATCATGTGTGTAATCACATTTGCCATTCGTTCCGCGTCAAAATTCCTTTCAAACGTTTGCGGCAAAGTTTTCTCGAACAATCTGAAAATTTTAAAGTAAATCAACACTTCAAATGCAAAATGTGCTCGCTCATTATGACAAACAAACCTATTACTAATTCCATCACTTTAATGTTGATACTTAGAAAAGCATCCCGCTTATGCCATGCAAAGATTTAGCAATCATTCTTCAAGCCCTGGAACTTTTACTGCAGTTAACAGCCTACTAAAATGAGACTCAGCATGCTCGTTAAAGTAAAATAAATGAATAAAAGAAAACAAAAAAACTTGACAAAAGGTATCTTGCCTTTTTTTGATGTTTTGCAGTTCATTAATCGGCACCCCATTAAAGTATAATACTATTTCACTAACACACTGCTCACGTATATATAGATGCACGAAGCTTGCCAGCTGCTCATCAAGCTGCACAAAATCTTGTTCCAACGGGGAAGCAGCAGTATCACTCAGATAATTTGCAAGTACTTCAAGTTGTAGCAAATCTTGGAGCTAAATATATTCCTGCTTTAGAACAAGTTTATATTTTAAAAAAATGAAAATTAAAAGGGTAATTAAGATATAAGGTTAGGGTCATTTATGACCTCATGTAGAGTAAAAGTAGTTTATCAATTACTACACAGTGCCTAACTCCTTTCAGGAAGTCTGGATAAATAAAATAGCCGTATTTACCCTATTAATTACACAATTCCATATTCTCCGAAATCAAATCGAAAATTTGCAGAAAATATCATTTTCTTCGTGTTTTCTTTGCTTCAAACTTCGGAATAGATTTTACTGTCTGCAGAGGAGACTTTTTTTTTGTTCCATTCTTATTCCAGGATCTGTTTCAAACAGAACGTAATTTAATCGGTAGTTTGAAAAGTGGAATTATATTGCAAAACGAACATTGCTGCAAGGACCTATCCAAGCAATCTCCACCGCACCCAGTTTTTCGTCTTCACTTGGGCAAACAATTTGCTTCTCTTGAGGTTCCGCGAATACCAGCATGGGATTCTTGAATGGCCTATTGAACAGATGTGGTACTCGCTGCTGCGATATTTCTTCTTCAACAGAGAAAAGCAAATCAGAAAATATGATTTCAGGAAGCAACGTGAAGCTTTTCACTTATGGTAGTGTGATTTTCAAACTATTCCGGACAGAAGAAAGGATCCATAATTAAACTACCGATTGATGATAAAATACGCAGCAATTTCGAGTGGTCAATAGATCCACATACAATCACAAGCATATTGCTAATGTGATAAAAGTCATGATGATATCGCCTTATCTTTTCCATACTACATGTTGTACGTAAAGCAGCCAAACGACCACCCGTTTCCACACGATATGGATTATCTAGAAGTACTTCATAATTACATCTATTTCTCTACCGGTAGTAGCACACCATGCGATAATTCAAGACATCTAGGGATTGCAATAAATGTAACCTCAGTATTTTGTCACAGAGTAAGAATGGCAACAGTAAGAATGACACTGCCAACAGAAGTTTCCCAGTTTAAAAGAAAAAAAAACTCACACTCAGGATAAAACAGCTCCTTTCGTTTCCAACTTACAATGTTATTCATTTCTGATTCGTGCTCTTGCATTTCACTATAAACAACCCCAGCGTCTTCACCTTTACCGTTGATATGATGGACTTCAGTCATAAATTGAGCATCCTACAATCTCATGCTTTTCAAACACATTTATTAAACTAAGATCTGAGTTCATATATCAAATAAGAAAAGAAAATGTAGATCTGTTGCGGATTTTTTCTCAATCATTTATTCACTTTTTTCTCCCCTAAGTACGTACATTGTACAGGAGCTTTTAAATCAAAGAGCAAAAATAGTGAAGTTAAACAACAAGCAACAAAATCCCACTTGCTGTAACAAGATGCCGAGATTTATTACTTGTGGCAGCACAAAAATCAGCAATAAAAGAATCTGAGATCTGTGCAGAAGTACTGAATCAAAGATAAAAAGAATAAATTCAAATTATTGATTATTTAAATATTTAATTTATCAAAAACTGCACACAGCTAACCGTTAATGTTGGCGATAGTAAATGATCTATGTAAATAGGTAAAATCTTCAGGAATCCATGACTGCCAACCTAAAAAATGCATTAATCAAGAGAAAACTTTACTTGTTAATTGTAATGCATTATGGGATGAGATTTATTACTCGCTCTAAAATAAATAGTAATGTCCAAAGACAGACAAGAAATCTATTTGGCTTCAAGTAAACTTTTTTCTTCTTTGCACTAATCTTTCTGCTGAATGTTCTACTACTACTTCCCAATACGGATTTACAACAAAAGGTTTAACAGTATTTTCGACTGTTTGGCTAAGTGTTTCTTAGACGATATATTACTTACAGTAATTAATTCATAAGCTGTATGATCTTGAGCAGTAAATGCGTTCGTCCCTGATGCCATACATCGATTGGCAATCAAATCCAGAACACCTTTATACGGATATTTTTTACTACCCATGAAAGTAAGATGTTCCAGAGTATGAGGCAAACCATCATTATCGAATGTCTCTGTCACTAAACATTTTATTGTTCATTACACAATCAGACAACTTTCCTTTTTGAAAAATCCCATCAAGCGGAAATCTACCAACTTAAAGAGTTAACAACAACTTAACAAGAAGGAAGATCAAAGGATGTGCCAGACAGGTAGTATCAATTCAATGCAGGTAGTGATTATAACTAGTAAACACAGAGTGTAAAACGGTATATCTTTCCATGGGTAAATAGCCTCGTATTAACTGAAATTTAAGCGTAACTACTCAATTTTCACCGATACTGAAGTCGAACATAAAGCTAACCAAAGGAGATAAGACCTTTAACCAGAGGTCCAGGTGTTTCAGCAACAGCGACTTGAAGTTTGGAACAATTTGACGCATAAATTACAAGTGGTATCTCTCCATTCACTTTATATATTGGACCAGGCGTCCATCCTTTTTCCAATTTATTGATATGTCCTCGAAGATAATGTTTATATATATTCGAATTCAAAAATGTAAAAATTTAAAAAAGACCAGAAAACATTAACATTACTGCTAAATTTTCCTGGTTAACGAAAAAAGAATAATAGGTTGAATATATTTTACGGTGACTTCTGGATGTAACAACCATCGTTGCGGATACAAAAGGACAAAAACTTTGCAGTATCCAGGATTAACGCGACAAAAACACTAGCAGTATCTTAAACTAAATAAGTCATTTCTTTGCCAAACAATAGTCGGCATCAGTAATATTATTCAATTAGGTCATGATATAATAATATGCCATACCTAACTGATTGTTAAGATGAACTTGTGGAAAGTATCGCTGCACAGTTTGGCGGTTCATCTTTGATATATTGCTATAGCTTGTCGATAATTTTTTCATTATAATAACTTAGTGTTAGGAAGTATGAGGACAAAAAACGTATTCAGGTTATTGGAGAGGAACATATGTTTACGATGAGTGATTGATAGAACAGATTTTTAAGTTGGATGAGAAAATAAAATTTTCGACAATGAAATATAGACGACAGTCGGCAGTAATTAACTAGTTATCCAATTAACAGATACGCTATTAATAATAGCTGACTCCCAAGCCACATTTGTCCTCATATTGTGAAAGTGCTGCAAAAGATACCAAGTACTGTAAAATTTGTCTTTTAAGCTACCTGTCTTCTCACACCCACTTCATTTTTCTTAGAGATTAAATTTCCCCGGTCGATTTCAGTTTTTGCAATCTCATCGACAGCAAATACTAATTGAAATAGCAAGTGAAGAGAGGATGGAAAAGAATTCTCGAATACCTCGATTCACAGTTGTCAAATTTCAAAACAGTAAGTTAATAAAAGTAAGTCAATTAAAGATTTCTTCCTTCCCGACATATATTGAAATATGAAATACATCCTAAGCCAAGTGGTACCGATGCAATCCCGAAATGCGATAGTTGGAAGGTTGAATTTCAAGTTTGCAAAAATGACACGGAAGGAAACTAAACTGCATCTAATAATGAATGAAGAAGAGGCTTGAAATGAGTGAGAGCTGAGGGAATTCATGTTTATTGATTCAAAACAGATTTATTCAAACAATGATATACTCTAACTCCATAATTTTTGATCAAATGAAAAAATTTTTGATGAAAAATATTGGAAAAATAATTAAGAACTGCCCTTTTTACCTTCTGCTTTTTCCGTATCCATTGTTGTTGGTGAATCGTTTCCCTGAAATTAGAGAATTTTTAGAAGCGTAAGGTGACCATTCATTTGAGCATTTTGTAAACCTGTATAACTTACGTCATCAACGAGCTAACGGTACACAAAGTTAAGCAGAAAGCCTTATCTATCTGCTTCACCTCCTGTATTTTTATCTTCATCCGTGATTACCGTCTTTCTGGAAAGAAAGCGTCCGAGAAAAATGATCCCATGGACAAATAAAAACAAAGATACTATTTAGTCATCATTCTCCTACTTATCTAGTCATCATTTTATAGACCACTGGAAAAGCTATTCTACAGTCTTATATCCTACTGTCGGACTATCTCGGAAAAAAAAAACGCAAGGAAACCAGTAAAATGAAATAAGATATTTTAATTTTTTGATTGTTGCAAAAAATAGGATCAATTCGTATTGTCTCAGGAAACACAATGACATTCGAAAGTAATGAAGAGGTACAACTCATTGCAAAAGTATTGGACAAGTTAAGTTCATGAAAAGTGATTATTTTTGGTAACCTTCGCAAATATGGGTGGTCGTATCGCGGGTGATAACAAACATACCAATCTTTTACAGAAGAGTAGTAGCTACAAAAGGACAACATTTCCCGACCAATTATTTATACCAGCGTGCAATACGATCATCCAAGTCTATCACATACAACCCGACAATGTCAACATTAATCCCCCCGCACCATTTTTATCATCAAATATCCATTCATACAGCCAATGTTTATCTCACCACCTTGTAACAAAACAGCTTCAGAAAACCTTTACAAAAGTCAGATGAATGAATTTTCCGTAAACTTGATACTAACCGGATCAGATCTTTCCCGATGCAGTTCAGTTAGCAGGATCCAGCCAGTACCCATATATTTAGTGTTGAGTACTTAAAAAAAATTCTGATAATTCTGGTCCCTTTTTTAAACTAAATTACGACAGTTTACAGAACGGCGAATTGATAGAAAAATGGTGAATGTGAAGAAGGGCGTGTTGGTACGTTGTGATCCAGCTATGCGTCAACTACTGGTGTATCTCGATGAGTCACGCGCGTTAGGGTCGAAGTTCGTAGTGAAGGAGTTAGATGAAACGCATATCTTGGTCGACAAGGAGATTGTACCAATTCTCGAACAGAAACTCGACCAAATGATGGAATCACTCTCTCCTGATCTTAGCGACAAGTAAAGTATATCCTCCCAGCCCTCTTAATTTTACAGTCACGTTTACAATACAAGAATGCCATAGTTTTACGCGAATATTGAGGTTATCTTTATGCACAGTTCCAATGAGTACATGACAAGACTTACTCATCACATGAAAGTTCAAAATGTCAATCTTTGCTGTTGTATTGTTCATGCAATAAAGTATCTGTGGTGAAATACTATGGTTCTGTTCGCGGTTATCATAGGAATGGGAGTCCACAATACCATGTGCCTCACTTGAGAGCTTCCAGCAACAGGTGCTTGGAAACTGTCTCTACCGGAAAAAAAATTCTTTTATCATGACGAAATGTCAGCTCATATTTGACATGATCAAACTATGGCTAGTCACAATTTTTTTTTGCCAAATTTTTGCCCAAAAAAAAGGCAAATTTCCGAAATTTTCATTCAAGAAAATAATAATATGGAACGAACCTTCGACTTCCTAATGGTGATATTTTGATGAAACGGAACAATTTGTAGCCATTGCAGAGAAAAACGAACAGCGGTGTTACGCAACAATTATCACTTACCAAAAGTCCACCTCCGCCGAAGAAACCCTGAGTTGAATCCATCTAGTCAACAAGGCAGTTTAACCTACTTTTTATAGCATTATTATCATTCCATTGCTCAGAAAATTTTTTGCCCATATTTATATGTAAATATAAAACCGGGAAAAAAATAAAAAAGTACCTACACTATGAAGCTATGAAAAGATCCCAGATCCCGAATTATTTTGTCCTAAATGATATTTGGGCCAAAAATAACGAAAAAATTGGGGGAGAGGCTATCAAGGATGAAGAATGTAATCTTTCTGCAGGATTTCCAGATCTAGGAACAGAATGGAATGCCAACCGTGTTTCGATCCTTTGTTTTTAAAAACTGTGATCTCATAATCTCGGAATTTCTCAAAATTCAAGAAATCTTAAAGTCTTAAAGCTTGAAACGCAGAGACAAAAAAGAATAATCTGTTTTCAAGAAAAAGAAGCTAGGTCCTTTTTCTTGTATTAAGCATATAAAAATTATAGGAAAACACATAGCAAATATATAAGTTAATCCGGTGAACGAATTTATTCATGAAAAAAAATATCAGTTGCAATGTTTGTCGAGTTTGGTCTTACATAGTTCCTCGAACTGTTCATCCGTCATCATTGGTTGGTCAATAGCTAATCTCGACAACCGATCGCTATGGAAATTCCCGCAACGGTCCCTTTCATCGCATGACATTTCATCCCAGTTCTCCTCCAATCCATTGTTTTCATCGTATTTTTGATGTCCATACGTGTGTTCCACGCGCATCTAAAAAGATTTGACAAGTTATCACATTTTGTAAAAATAGAGAAATTTGGGAAATTAAACTAGATTACAATATAAGAACAGAAAGATGAAAAAAGACGAAAAAATGAAAGCATTATGTTACTGATGGATCGAAGTATACTTAAATACTTTGCTCCACTATTTTAATACTAGCGCTTAAGCACTGCATTTTTTAATTGCCTTCTTTATTGTACAGTTGTCCAACCAAAAAACATCGTTTACGCATAAAACATGTTCTGAGATACAATAATAGACAGGTAATTTGGGCATACTTTTATTATTTCAGTATAATGGCTGAGTTTCTGTATGTCATCCATATTTTCAATCTGTTTTCCATCTGCTTTCTTCCATTCATTGGAACGCCATTTGGACAGCCATGAATTAATAACTTTCACCACAAACTGCGAATCTGTTTTGATAATTATTCGATCAAAATTTAGAGAACAAGCCTTAAAAAAACAGTATATTTTGGAATAACCAAATAATACCATACTCCAGTCATTTCAGCAGCAAAAATCTTTCATAAGATTTTTCTGCAATAAAACTCATTGTCGTCAAGAGTAAAAAATGAAAAAAAAAACAATCGAGAAAGCAAATATTCAGATAACAAGGGAACTTCACTAGTATTATAAGAACCGAATCATGCTACGACAGAATTCCAGAAAATGGTTCACTAACCTGTAAAGCAGCTAGGCTGACTGCTTGTATTTCAGCTCGAATATTGGTCAGTTTCGATCCTGTAAGTGAGAGTTGAACATTACGTTCATCGTTCGGGCTCCAGAATATTCCAATACCACCTTTCCTCAATGTCCAATCAAATGAACCATCGCAATACACCAATGGAGCACTGTAGCACAGAATGATTCTCATTTAAAACAGAGGAAAACTTCAATTTTCTTGAAAATATATTGAAGTTTTTTAGATCAGAAAATTTGAACTAAAATTCAAAAAACTGGACCATTTGAAAACCCAATAAATAAACGGTTTAAACAGAATAGACAAATGGCATAACTTCTTAAGATATTCATGCCCAGTTATACATCCGTTCTTTTTTTTTTCAAATGTCCCACAAACGCACAATAATTTACTAGATTATTAATAAGCTTTACCTCATCCACGCCCTTTTTTCAATTATTTTATTACCAGATGAGACTTCACTGTTATCATCACTATTCTCAATAGCTGGTTTTTCCTTCCATTGCTGAATTTTTCGAGTTAATGCGTCAAAATCTGGTGCTGAGGAGAATCGTTTAGCTGACAATGCAGCCGATGAAATAGCATTATAAGAATAAAAGCATCTAGATAGTTTGACTAATGGTGCCATCCTGTAAATTAATGAATTTGAAATCCATGTCCACGAGGAGGTAACGATTTCCGGATCAATCCAGAAACGCAAATATCCATGATATCATTTAGGGTTGATCCTAACTACTCCCTAAACAAACACTTGTAATTTAAAGCATGATAACATTCGAATCTAATTTATTACCAGAGAAATAGTCCTTTGTTACAAGATATACTAATGATATTTTGTAATTTATCAATTATACTGATCGCATTCAAGCATAACATTACGCACTATTTATGCCTCATCCAATATTATACGGAACAACAGATCAACAAATCAGACCTGGCCTGACCTATACTACCCACATACTGCACATTACAACTTGGCCTTCATTATATAACGAACACAGGAAGTTCTTAAATTCATAACACAAAAGAAAAAATCAAATACAATTAGCACTCAGATCAAGCATACCATTTCAATCAAACAATAACTTTCCTCCCTACATTTATCCAAACTTTTAACGAAACATCCTGAAACTTCAAAATATCATTTATAAATAACCTTGACACGGTATGCACAAACGAGCCTTTTGTCACATAGAAATATGTGAGTAACGATTCATCCATTTTATTGGAGTACAATTATTTTTATCACTTATTAAAAAGGTACACAAAATTATTTCATATTTACCCGAATTTTTAGTAGTTGCATCAAATAAACAACCACAGCTTTATATACTCAACTATCAAGTAATACCTTTTTTGAACATGGATGTTAAAAAAAAAAAGATGAAATTAACTATGTGATCTATTACTCGCCATATGCCAAATGAAGAACATTTTAGAGCACGGATTTTAACCATAGTGTAATTTTCACGCTTCACAAGGTCGAACAATGGTTTCCTGAAAAAAACTATCAGCCGTCGACCAAACCGTTTCATTGAACCATCCATTGACAAGAATACGGTGTAAATATGGGTAATTTTTCCGAACAATCTTTTCTGTTTCATGATGGTAAGCCAAGTAAACCTACTGAGATGTCTGCTTTCATATTCGATCTTCGCAGGTACTTAAATACTTTATGCAATTCCTTTCATACTTTCACTCGTCTCTTTTGAGGAAAACGTTAGCAAAATCTTTCAAATACTTTTCGACATTATCGCCCATCGGTAGAGGACTCGATTGATCCGTTTCACAGTACAGTCGTAATACCTACAGCAGGCAAGAAATGAAATGAATTGCAAAAAATATCACTTCCAAACTTCTCAAGTTTTAAATATCTATTTCTTAGTTTGGAGTAACAGATCAACGCCTAATTTTAACTTGCATTATCTACTTCTATAATGTTTTAAAAAATTTTGCTTAAATATCTTGAAAATCATACTTTAGTTCCGAAAGTTGCATTGCTATTTGGTATTGAATACTGATTGGCAATCTGATCAACACAGCGTCCTATTGTCCAGCGCTGTAAAACAAGGAAATAATATTGAGTAAAAAATCTGGATGAAAATAATAATTCTCAGCAACTTGCTAAACATAATTTTTTTAACAAATCTAGGTCTCTTATTTGAGGAAAATTTTAGAACAATTTTGGCATAACAACTTAGAATAATATTACCAAAATTTTCTGGTAAAACATACTTTGGAAATCATAACTGGTTCGCGCTTATGATTTTCTATGATGAACAAAAACATTTGCTCGGCAGCAGGAATCTGTAACAGAACTGTGATTTGTAAGTATCAACAACAATTATAATAGAATAATGAAGCCACTATAAAGATTCACTGTGAATGATGCCATTTTGTAGTTGCTGCCATGGAATTCTAAATATAACCTAACAATATGAATTAAATAAGTGATTTGCTAAGAATAAATGAAGTATGGAGTCAAAAGCTAATAAATACATAGGAATACTTCGAAGAGCAATTAAAAACAATCGATCGTAAAAGTTTTTACATTACAATTTCGAGTATTTGATTTAAGACGCATTACTGCTATTCGATCAGCTCTTCTTCGCATCGTTTCATCCACCTAAAACAATAAATTTGAACACTTTCAAGATCTGCTAACATGAAGAATTCTTTTTAATTTCAACTTTCAAACTTCAAAATCTTAACTTTTTAATCCCATCATATATCTCTTTTTTAAAAAGATTTATATAGGGATTGCTCAGGAAAGATAGCAACAATGAGATACGTCTATAAAAGACTTTGGCTACCTTTTCTGGTATGTAGAAAGTATTATTTTCGCTTCCTATGGCATTCATTAACTTTAATGTAAAATATTCACAAAATATATTATTGTAAGTACTAAAAGAAAAAAGAAATAAACCGGTTTCTTCTTCTGCGGTGGTGAAGACAAACTTGCTTTAGCAATATCTCTTTCATCAGCAGCCAAAACCATTAACATCTTTTTTTCAATCCTTCCTGAAGATCTCTATTAATTTGTCCATTCGCAACATCTTTGGCATGGCATCGATGTTCCTCTGGATAACGATGTCTGCATTATGAGGCATATTTTAGTAAAAAGGTTTCTATAGAAATAAAGAAAAATACTTTAAATTACAATAAAAGGGAAACAAACCAGTTATTTAAAAGATGAATATAGTTTTCGAACCATATCATAAATCGGTTTTAATAAATTCAAGAAGTTATTCCAATTCTGTCCTTACGAAGAGATCTTAAATGAAACCTAATCTTCTTATGCTTACTTCAGGCAGAAATTAAATCCACAATGTTGACAATCAATTTGGATAATTTCGAAAGTGAAACAACCATTCATCGAGCATAAATATTTCCTCAATGGTTTACTACCATCACAGCTGGATGTGGCTAATTGTCCAGCATCTAGACTTTTAAACTGACATCCATGATCAAATCGATGTTCATCGCTAAACGGATAATCATCTATTTCAATTAAATTTCCTTTTCAAAACTTCTCAAACAACAACGGTAAAATAGTGAATCTTTGTAAATGACACACTACTACGAATCAAAAAACTCTAGTAAGATAAGAAAGAACCAATAGAAAAAACGTACCAGAAATATTTCGCGCAATAGCTGCAGAAGAAAGGCACGAAATCTTAAAAAATTTAAAGTACCATTTCATCAGTGGCTCGAAATGTCGATTTAAAGAGTTTTGCTAATATTATAAAGATTTAATTTCCTTCCAAAAACCTTTCAATAAAAGGCTAACGAACTAATAGTTTCAATTACCGTTGTCTACCACACGCACTAGGACAACTTTTTGGAATTCTGCATTAAACATTTGCGATTTCAGTTAAAGAATCTATTTCAAACACTCAATGAGTTAGAATGACAATGATTATCACTCAAAATGGAAAACGGCCGCAACCAACTAACCGAGTTTTTTGCAAGCTTCTAGCGAACAATTTTTGCCTAGTTCTGGGAATTCTGCCATTGATGTGTACAGTAATATAAATTAAAGCATGTTTCATTCACCTGAAAGTGCGCTTCATTTACAAATTTGATAAATCATACCAAATGAAGTCTCAAGCGTAGGTAAATTCTTTATCAACCCTAAAGCTTTAAGATCTTCAGTCATGAAAAGGAACCAGTTCAGTAATGGTAGCAGCAAAATGATATACTACTAGCAATATTTCGGGGGGGGAAAAAAAACTAACACAATACAAAAAGAGCAACATTAAGTGTGTCAATGAGCAATACGACCCTGAAGCAATTTTTTTTTTTTACAAAATTGGAAAAGCGCGTAAATTAGCATATAATCACAACACAAATTCATAGTCCATGAATGATAGAAAAAGAAAAAGACAAACCAATGCATGTGAAAAATACAAATACAAAATAATGAATGAGCAAAATTTAAAGGATTATTTACAGCAATGCTGTACTTATGGAAATCAATGAAAATCAGTAACTTCAATGTCGAAAATATACGAATTCGCGATTAAGAAGAGTTAAAGAGTAGATTTCTATTATATCTTATACAGTCTCATCTTTACTTTCTGATTAGAAAAAGTAAAAATAATCAGGAAGGGGAATAGAATACTTTAAAAGCAGTTACAGAGCAGCCTTGAAATTTCAAAAATTAACGACACTAACTTATTTACAACAATGCTTAGAACTGTACTTACAGGAAACAATAGAAATCACTTGAGTTAATAAAATCGATCGAGTTGCTAAAACCAGACAGAAATATAGAAAAGTAATTAAATATAATCCCACTACTTAATGACATACAAGTTGACGGTACAGCAGTATCAAGAAAAAAAAACATTGAAAAACAAAACTCCAACCCTCACCATTTCTTTTGATTGTAAATATAACAGTTTCGTTCCAGATTTCAAGAGTTCTATATCTCATTATATTTCCTAATTTCCGGTTAAATTAGAATTTCATTTCCTCGAAGTTTTTTAATATCTCGAATAAACAAATACAAATAACAAGTTTACACAGAATGGATTCGGATAGTCCACTAATACCTTAATTTGAAGGAAAATAAATCCTTATTCAAGGTGACTTTCAAAATCCAAATTTAAATGCCTCAATTGTGTAAGAACGAAGTAGAAAGATAAAAGTAGATCATCCTCCTCTGACATTTCTGAAAATAATCTGAATCCCAATTTAAATCCATATTTGATAAAAATTTTCCTAATACTTGTTTTCTGCAAAAACTTCAACATAAAAATGAATTCAAAAGAAGAAATACAAATAAAGCGCTTAAAAAGTGTAGCTGTATAATAGAATTACAGTTCATTCCTTGATAGTGATGGTTTCTTCTTCTTTTTTTTACGGTCCAGTTTTTTTTGTTCCTGTTTTTCTCTTAGCGCTTCTTCCATTTTTCGTAATGCTTCCCGTTGCAATTCTTCCTTTATTGCTTTTCTATCATATGGATTATGAAAATCATCTCTTCTAAAATTTGAAAATAAAATTTTAGAATGGCTTTTTCGTCACCGAAAGTCTTACTCATCATATGGATGCAAACTATCTACAGTCCTGCAACATATATCACGCCTACCAATGTACATGCTTCCCGTTGCAACTCTTCCTTCATTGCTTTTCTATCATATGGATCATGTAAAAGAAAAAATTTGAAAATAAAGTTTTAGAATGGCTCTTTCGTTACCGAAGGTCTTACCCATCATATGGATGCAAATTATCTACAGTCCTGCAACATATATCACAGTTTAATATATGCTCATCTAAAGTAAAGATGATGGAATCACTTAAACTGGAGGGATAAAGTAAAACTATTCCATCGTAAACAAACTAAATCATTTCCAAAAATTATTTTATTTGTTCGAGATATTTTATTTTGTTCCTTTTGTTCGAAAAAGAAAGTAGAAAGATTGTTTTTGGAATGATAAAACGAAATAACCTTGGAATGATTTCTAACTGTTGCCCAACCAAGTCCAGCAATTTTTCCGCAGCATCATCATGCAACCGTGATGTTGTTGTAAATTTATAGGCCCAGGCAAATAGTAACTGCCAGTCGATATCTTTCTTGTATCTGTAATATGTCGATAATGAATCAAAGAAATGAAATGAAACTTCACGTCAACTGAAACCGAAACTAGTTTACCAAATCTCAACCAGTATCGCAACAAGCAAAACATCAGTCCCTCAAGATAAAGCCCTTTCAATCAGTACCGTTTACAACAAAAAGAGTGTCCAAACCATCCGCTAAGTTGCGCTGTCAGCTTTAAAATACTTTTAAAATACTAAAATATTTGAAGGGGCTAGCTAAATTTATTTAAATGCTATCCTTTTTTTTCTCCTTTTTACTAAAACGATAAAATAAACCAGAAAATTCTGAATTCCAAAAAATTAAGTACAGGAAAATTAAAAGTCAAAAAAGCGTAAATTTTTGCAGTGGCATGTACGTAACAACCTACAAAATAAAGTAGCTTAATTCCCACCTGTCGAGCAGTATTGTCGGAAAATACAACACCAAATTACTGTAAAATGCTGTATTTTCGACAATATTTCCAATAGCATCTCTCAAACTGCTTTGTTCTTCACTAGGGAATGTATCATTCGGCTTGAAGTTTGCTTTTTCAACTATATTTTTTGCATTACCCATCACCTACAATTATTTTCTTACTTTCCTCCCATATTACACAGCACTGCAAAATCTTCAAATAAGCCCTGCAATTATTTCCACAAAACAATCACCAAAGAATAGCTTACGAAAGAGCCTTTTCCTTGCTCCACTTAGCAATTATTCATTACCCTTAACAAAATTCTTTCGTACTACAGAAATTATAGGATAGGACTAAACAAAACAAACTTTGTCTCACAAATAATTTCAATCTGTACATGTCTTCAGAAGTTAAACTAACCTGAAGAATCTAATTCAAATAAAATTTGCAGAATTTAAGAAAAAAAAAGACCTGATTTACAGTATTCTGCTTCATTCGAAATTTAGCTCACACGGGTAAAGTACGACCTACAAACCGACAGTTTGTGTATGAAAGAATTTCTCGAAGTCAGCCAGTGTTAACCTTAATGATGTTGAACACCAATTCAAGAAGAAGCTTTTCTTGCTTCTTCTCATCCATAGCCATTAAGCTTTTCACTGCATTCAAATGTTCGCGACGCTTCACCGAAAAGAGCGTTCTGTCTAAAAATAAACATCACTTTCTGATGAGTCCAATAAGGCTAAACAACCACAAACTTAGTTCGTTTCTAAAATGGGTAGCACATATGTTACATGCACTCCACAAATTTTAAAATCTCACTTGGCTTGGAGAATATGAATCACTGTAAAAAAAATGAACTTGTAACATGAAGGAAACATTACAGCCCTACACATTTTAGCTCCGAATAAGTCCTCGTGATCATGGTATGCTTTGCGCTGCTTTTCCTCCAGGTAGCTACCATTAATGGAATGAAACTCATTGTGTTTATCTACGTGATGGCCATCCAATTTCCCATTCACAATTGTCGCTAAGTATACTAGAAGTGGCCATAAAGGTGAATGCAACATTTCTCTGAAAATAGCCTTTTTTATTGCGTGAATCAATCTCACGACAAGACTTTTCAAGTTCCATCCAGCTATCAATTCGATGAGGATATGAACCTAATTCCATTAATTAAGTAACTGTTTACATAACTTCCATCAACAAAATATCACCACCACACCATTTCAAATAATACCACACATCTGCAGTAACTCATTAAAGTAACGGCAGTTCGACACAGTACTCGCCTCACAGGAACATTATAACTCATACTGTAACAAACAGACGCGGCCCACTCCTTGCCATCCATTGGGATATTGTGCAACATTTATCCCAAGATTCACTGCAATTACTTCGAACATTCCTTATGTTGCAACGTGAACTGTCTGAATACGTGAGTCGGCGTTAACTGAAGTTATTCTTTCACGAAGAGTGATTCGCTAATTTTTTTTGGTTTAGAAAACATGCAGAGTTCTCTACTTATTGGTGGTTTATAATTTATCTCATATGCGTACGCGATATGTCTGACCTCTCACCTTTCTCATATGACATGTGTCTTGACACGTATCTTGTTCATCATGTGTCATCATTTGTTCAACTATCACCAGTATGTTGTGCAATACCTGTCGAATTTTTTTCCAAATGAATGGAATAAATTAGCTTGTTGGTTTGAATATGAGATACCTTGGGGAAAGTAAATGACCTGAGGAAAACCATTATCTAAATGTCCTGAATTATCATTGCACCGAACGAGAATGAGAAACATTTGTCGATTTAAGAGATATTTAATGCACTTATATTCATTAACACATTTGTATTCATTATGACATCAACGCTTAAAATATTACAATATGCGGTGATGATACGGTTATATGAACTGGATCATCCTCACTTCCTGGTTAACCTTTCAAATGTCTTTTTCCGCTTTTTTTAGTTTTCAAATTAAATCATTTTTTTTTTGAGATTCAAAATTCTAAAATTAATAATGTAGAAGTGAGTTAGTTATGATTAATAACATCAGTTATAATTAATAGCCTCTCATATTGATTTTCAAAATTCGCAAAACACATGGATTGAAGTGTACTGTTTATACACGTACATATCACAAGACACAGATCATAACATGTTCCAATTCAGACACTAATATCATCTGAAGAGAAAATACACATTATACGCTTTCTTCACGTTTAAAAATGTTCACTTTGAAAATTCCTTCCTCATTTCACGCTATTTCTTTTTCGTTCGAAAAAGTTACTTATATTATTTGGAACAAATTATTCAAAAATGAAAATGATAACGTACAAATGAAGTGTTGAGATTTGCATAAGTGATAAGTAGCAATACGTCAATAATCATCACACAATAGAGGTGACTGAGTAAGGCTGAAATTAAATTTTAAATAATGAAAAGATATTTGAAAAGCACAAATGAAACTGGATTTTTAAAAAGAGTCAAATTAAAGGGACGAAATTACTTGGAACAGGTGGAAATATGAGAACTAAACAAGAATAAAAAACATAATTTTTAAAAATCAAAAACTGAATAGATGTTGCGGACTAATTGACTTAAACTATACCTATTTCAAGAATTTATACGTGCCATCAAAGGTGATATTTTTTATACTAACGACATCTGTGTCATCCCTCAAAAGATTCAAGCACTTAGTCATTCCACATTCATACGTCCTTCTTGTTTATCAAATATTATTGTTGCTCAAAAGATTAGAATATGCTTAAGAAAGACTAACTCGAGGTTGTGAATATGTTGGGACTGATTGCTCCGTATTCTCTGTTTTCCTGGACAAAATGGAAACTTCATGTGGAATTGGTCTACCATTCTGATCGTATGAAATCCTTATTTCAGAGTTAATTTGATATGTTTGTGGTTGTGGACAACCATCTGGACCAATATTTCCACGTGACGGTGGGATGATGATTTGTTGCGGAAGCGTTAATCCTTTGTGCGGATCCAAGGGCCAGTGTGCTGATGCGGAATCTGTCTGCACTGCAACGGTTGGTGAAGCATTATTGGAAGTCCTGCAAAACAATTTTTACAATTTAAATCGAAATTTCGGCGTGTAATCACTACAATATGTTTGTTGAAATACGTGATACTTTCAAAAAGTGATCAGTCTTCAACAGGAAGGAAAGTTCTGAGGAAAATCGATCAGCCATAACCCAAGAAATAGTTGATCAACAAGTTAGTACAACATGCTATCACATATTAATATTACCACATATTAACGCTAAAAGAGAAATATTTGGTTTCTTTCGCTTAAAACTTGCAATTGGAAAATTTAGAACTTTTAAAATTATTCTTCAAAACTGACAGAAGTCTCACTGAAATAGTGATAAAATGCTAACTTCTTATCAGTATACCGGCTATGTTTCGACTTCCGTGATTCACGTTGATAGTCTTTAAATCGCTGTAAATCATCATGATTTTCAAATCTTGCCCTCCGTGACTTGTGTCCTTCAGATATTTTGAGATCATCTGTTTCCGTACTACCATTTTCAAGGCTTCGAGATCGACGTCTGATAAGATACGAATTATCTGCAAATACTGTCATGAATTTCGGATTACTATCATAATACCAAACCCATGTATTCTAATGTTGCTTGAACCTTGACCTATTATATATCATATTATACTATGGTTTAAAGCGTACGTTTCTAACGACAAAAATCGAGTATGGATTTCGAGCAAAATTATCACACTTCGATTCCAGTTACACTCCACTGATTAAGGTGTCAGATTTTTCTTCATTACATTCAAGAAACCTTTATTTTAGGGAGTAAAGGCAAAGATAACCAATAAAAGAAGTAAACGGTGCATGACAACTATGCAATCTAATTCGGTCATCAAACAAATATTTTTTTCTCCTTTGTACTTCAAAACCAAAAAAGATAGTAGAGATATGATAAAGAAGATAGTATCACTGAAAGATAGTACCACATGATACATCAAGCCTACTCATATGGAAGTTATTCTAAGCAGGCATACGGTATTATTTATTAGTGAATCACTTTCCCAAAAAGCATCTCAGTTCGACTATAAAATTTTTTTGAAGAGTAATGTAATTATGATATAAATGTAATAAAAATAATATTAAAGAAGAGTGATATGAGCTGATAAGATTTTATGGTAACATTGATGGATAATTACCTGAGTAATCAGTGCTCACCGATCCAGAACTGCCTGTTAGGGAAGGGAAATGATAGCGATGTCGTGAACAACTTCTTCGTCGACAATGATTACTATGATCGCCGTGATCATGTCGTCGTGAACCTGACCTACAATACTGATGTTATAAAATTGTTCATTGCTTCAAACTGATTTTTAGTAAATAGTTACCTTTACTTTCATTTCGTAATGTAATCTACACAATCTTGGCTGCTATCTTCGGTTTTCGAACCAAGAAATAAAATGTTAGCGATAAATGATAACAAGGTTCCAATTTATAAAAATTAATCACCGATGTTTATGGTGGTGATGATGATGTTGGTGGTGACGATGACAATGCTTGTGTCGATGACGATGACAACATCTAGCACCCGAGGTTTTAGCATTAACTGATGGTACGGAATAGGAATGCTGAAAATACAAATTTACCTCAATTAAGAGTTATGACCTTTGAACTTCATTTGCGAATGTTATTTTTTTTTTTTTTTTTTTTTGCTCAACCTGCCAATAAGTTTTAATCTTATTGCTCAATCAAAATTGAGCAATCATTCATGCCTATTTTGTTGGATAAAAAAGCAAAATGCTAATATTTGGCTCACAAGCCTTATTCAAAAAGAGCAGCTTACCTTCAATGAATAAATATCTTCTGGTTTTTGTTGCTTGATCGGTTCACTGTTAGCATGATCTGGTAAGTCTTCTTTAAATGGTTCAAAATTAACAAATTTTAATTATTACCAACTTTCAGCTCTTAATCTATCCCCAATTTCATACTTTTTTTTACCAAGTTTTGTGAAAAAACAAATATCTTAAAATAGCATACTTATAGATTGTTGCTCTTTGACCCATGTGGTAACTAAATCATCTGCAAAAGTTGTTTTTCGAATTTGGGTCGGAGTAGTTGGGACAGATTGCTGTACCATAGTGTAATCGCGTAGATGGTTATACGGATCACGTCGTGATGATTCATTTTTCCGATAACCTGATTTTACAGGTTGTTCCAGTTCTGTAAAGAAAAAGTAAAATGCTTTAATTCAAACCACTCTTTATACTTGAATTATCCAAGCCTTAGTATGAATTAATATGAATATATGAATATGAATATATCAATAATATAAATTCTGGATGGTTATCAAAATTGAATACAAATCCGTCATCATCATCCATCATCATCACCATCCATCATTATCATCATCATTATCATCATCAATTTCTTGGCTCTTTTTAACCTCATTGTCATCCAAATGTGTCACCAAATCATACGTCAAATTCATGGCTCTTTCTCTATTGCAATCTTAAGGAACTTTTCAGGAATTTGCTAACCAGGAAGATAATTGTTGACATTGTGGTAATTATCTTTCTTGAATTCATCGTACATTCTTGGCCTGTGATATGATGTTCTTTCTTTTTCATTGTAATGAGTTATTTGATCACCGATATAGCGATAGAACAACAATACAACAAATACACAATATACCTGAAAAAGCTTACAATTTTTTTTTTTTAATTTTTTAAATCAAGTTTTGCTTTTTTCTAATAGAATTAACCGAACTTGTTTCTGTGTCAACCAATATCACCAAGACTATCCGGTTATGACATTTGAATTATTGAAACTGTCTGATAATCTAGACATAGTCTCAAAATGATATTTTTGATGGAATCAGTGATAAGCATGTTTATTAAAATGATTGAAAAACTAAAACTGAATTTGAATTCTAATTTAATGATTATAATGGATAGTTTACCTGAGAAGTAATTTTCAGAATAAAAACGAAAATCAACGAACATTGATGAATATGGTGACCATTTCGAGAATTGTAAGTACAAGCCAATAATCACGAACATCACCGCTCCACCACATAATACAGTATGTCAATGTACAAAGTATACTGGCTATCATACATGGAAACCATGGCCATATCAAACATTGTAAATACCAAAATAAAAATGATTAATTCAAGGTTGAAAAGATTTACAAAGGTTAATTTCTGATACTGGAATGATAAACATAACTGTAAATTAGATAAGGCTGTGGCGCAGTTGTCCATCAAGTCTCCAAAAAAAAACATGGAATACTAAAGTCAAACATTTTCAACAACTAATGAAAATTGGTGACATTTCTTTGGCAATATACGGTATTGCTGTTTCAAAAGTTTCATGGACCTGGGTCTTGGTATACTGTTATCAATTATTGTTTCATAAATGTCATTCTTAAAATATTTTGATGAAGAACTTTCACTTTAAAATATTTAAAAATTTACAAAATTAAAAGCTTGAGAAGATGAAAACTCACAACATGAGCACCATAAATGAGTGAGCAAGAAGCAAATAATAAAAAAAATGACGCGATTAAGCATAATATTTGAATAACGAATAAACCTGAAATTAATTAAAATGAAAATGAAATTAATAAGGTATTTAAATTTCATTGGTTTTGGTTTTATAAAAACAAATGCAAGAACTAAATCTACCAATTAATTCATACTGGGAATAAGAAATGAGTAAATAATTATGCAAATAAATAGAAATATTACAGACAAGGAAATGTTTGATGAAGATGGACAAACTGAGGACATAAAAATTTTGACCAGTTAATCATTGGTCATTCGATTTGTTGATGACCAGGAAAGAATGGTCTACCAACAATTGATACATTCGGAAAGTACAAACCAGTATAAAAGCGCTCCTCAGGACTCTGCCAATAGCTTTCGTAATAAGTAGGTATATCCAATCTACCGTATTCATTATAGTTTGGTAGAATTGTATCTGCTGCACGATCTTTCTCATATTTTATTGCTGCCATTTGCCAGCCAAATATTGCCAACTGTATAAGGCCATAAATCTGAACAAACTTATTTCATCTAGTTTTTTTATTTTCTCTTTCTCTCTCTCTCTCTCTCTCTCTCTCTCCTTTCTTTCTCCCTCTCTTTTCTTTTTCTTTTTTTTGAGATACAAAAAATATACGTAATCGTTGAAAATTTTCGATGAGACAGTTGACAGAGACAACAGATTCTCATAAAGGTTTATTTCTTTGTAAAACCGTAAAGAAATTTTAAAAAATTTTGAATTAAAAAGCCATGTGAGCTTTATTGAATCCAATTTAAATAAATTGCAAAATTAGATTTTAAATTTAAATTTTCAAATAAAAGTATTCATTTCATTCCAAAGTGTATGTACATTGTTCAAATTGACAAAACAGTTGGCATATTCGACTGGCAAAATGTTTGGTGCTAATTTTAGTCCATAATTTGATATAGGAACTTGGCCGTATTCTTTAAGGATAGGAATGATATGATTAGTCATAAGGATTGCAAAGAGATAGAATATAGAATGCATATCCTAATGATAGTACAATAACATGATGATAACAGATAATAGATAAAATTATATTTCTAATAAAATAACGAAAGGTGTTATTTGTGTTATTGAATATGCTAGTTGACGTAAATAACGTGATGTACGTTACGTGAAGGAAGCTCAGTACAAATATTTCATTTGATAAATGATATGTATGAGTTTTTATGGTTCCCAATCCGAAAAGTTTTATAAAATTCACCATCAGTTAAAAAAAATCTATTCTTTTTCATTATTACATGTTCCACTACATACGTACATATCATTATGATCGGTATAGGAAATTATTATGGAAACTATGCCGGTATAGAAAATCATCGTGGAAACTATACCGGTATAGAAAATCTTTGTGGAAACTATACCGGTATAGAAAATCACTATACAAATTTTGATGATCATGAAAATTATACCGGTATAGAAAATGGTTTCGGAAGTATTATAGTAGTTCTCGATGTATGAGGGAATGTTGTAATCGGCATAAGTATTATGGGCGGGTATTAGTTGATTGGAAGCAATGTCCCGATGGTATTTGATTGCGTAAGATTGCCAGCTGAATAGTACCAACTGTACAATAGAGTACACCTGGAACATATGCAATATCCTATTTCAGGTTGCAAAATTAGCTAGTTAAATTTTCAAAAACTACTTGAAATGTTCATTTCCAATCTTTTCTTTTCCAATTCTTTTAGATGCCATAAATTATCTTTCCCGGCGAAGTAATTTAGCCAAAGAATGGAATGAAATGTCAGGAAATTTCTCCCCAAATGTTTCAAACTCTTTTGAAAATTTATAGAATTAATGGAGCATTCAGTTTTTCCTGAAATTTCATCAATCCTTTGCTTTTTGCAGTTGGCAACTATTCGGCTGACAATAATTTAACTAAAAAATATTTCGAATTTGGAAGAGATTGAGCAACAGAATAGTATATCATAAACTAAGTATAGGTAAGTACAGGTAGAGAAAATAAAATAAATAAGATACGGGTAAATGAAATGAGATACAGGTAAAAGAGATGCAAGAAATGAGGTACGGGTAAATGTGGGCAAGTTGAACAATTTATGAGAAAGACAGGGAAAGAGATTCAGGTTTAAAACCTGAATCTCTAAAAAAAAAACTTCGATACTACTTAAAATGTGAGTGCTTGCATTCGTTTGTTTTGTCTATTCAAGATTCTTCAGTAGTAGCACAAACAATAATATAATTATTACCGGACAACCTTATCACTCTCGATTAGAACTTATTCATTATCGGACAATCTTATCAGGCTTGATATCTATCCTCTATGAATGCTCCATTGATAATTATCTTTGAGAATGTTAAGACATGAGAAGAGGGAATTTCTCTAATTCCACTTACTGTTTATTTCAATTATTGACATCTAGAAAATATCACTTCCATAATATTCATATCTCTTCTTTAATCATTAACTACTACTATCTTTCTGGATATTATCTTGCAAAGAAAAGATTGTTGTGAGATATATGGTACTACCCTACCCTGTATCAGGGTACTTGTACGTTCATGGGATGCACCAACACATGGGCACCAATATTCGCATTGAAGATTTGCTTGAGACATTGTCACCGTCTGACAAGAACTGATAACATTCAACTGCCAGCCGAATAGTACCAATGATGCCAATGAATAAACCTTTAATGATAGTGTTATGCAATCTTTTTTCATTTATTATTGTTATGTTTACACAAAATGGAATTGAGGTTGATTCTTACGTCTCTTACGTATTACACGTATTACGCGTCATCAATTTTATATGTTAACTTGAACTTATGCTAATGCCAGTTATTTTGAATAATGACTTCCCGTTTCTTAATTCGATTAATAAAATAATCAAATTTAATTGGAATTGCTATTGTATGCAAATCTTATTCATTTTTCATCATCCCTTTTACATTTAATAATCTTGTAGAAATGATTAAATAACTTGAATACTTTTTCATGTAAAGAAATCGAAGCTAGAAAAACCCAAAAAAAAGTTAGCAAGAATTCAGGAATGGAAATAGCCTTTCCGGAAATTGAAACATCTGTCAAATGTAATCAGGAATTACAAAATTTTTTGCGAATGATTTCAGCGATTGTACAAATTTGTTAACATTTTGATAGATATAAATTTTTGTTCGTTTTTTTTCTTAAAAAAGAATGGAAAAGTTTAGCATTCCTTACTAAAAGACTTCAAGATAAAAGTAAAATTAACTGACCAATGACCAAAGGCCAACAGTAACAGTACCATCCTTGATATTCCAACAAAAGCACGGATTAATTGCCATATTTTCCCTTTTACATTTATATGTAGCAATAAATGACTGATACAGTGATAAGCATATTATCTATTCGATAAATGACATCCGGAATAAATGACATCCATCGATATCCGGAAAAATAACTTGACAATATTTCGAAATATTTACATCCAAATCTAACAATAACCTTGTATTTCCGAACTTCTAAAGTTGAGAAGCTAATTAATTAACATAAATTGAAAACAAAAAAGAAAGACAAGAGCTGTACTACTGATCTGATCCTATTATCAATGATAAGTAATACAACAAATTTGAGGGCTATCACTAAAAAGAGTATCATGCATGGATTAAATTAGTTTAATTATGGATGATTTTATGGCCAAGATAATTAGTTAGGCCCTAGGATATCTATCCTAGCCACTAGTTCTTTCATATTATCTGAAAAAAAAAAAAGTATTGAGACAAGAATACCAAATAGTAAACAAAACTTTAGAAGGTAAGTAAACAAATGATAGAATGTCTCAAGCAAACCAAACATATCTAATTTAACTCTCTTTCTATTAGCTTACTAAATAGACAGGTATGCAAAAGAAAAAGAAGGAAAGGTGTATGTATGTGTCTGTATGTGCGTGCATCTACTTGATTGCATTGCCAATGATGCATGGCATGCATACCAATGCAAATTTCGATGAGTCAACTTTACAACGATGAATCATCCAAAGCAGAAGGGATTTCTGCAATGAAATAATAACAATTATATACAGATTACTTTACTTACTCTTAGGGAACATTTATTGTATTCCAATATTTAACTTCCAAATGATCTTATTGAAAACAAATCTTTGTCCTTGGCTCTTTTTTTTTTGTTCCCTAGACCGGAATAGAGAAATCTTTGTCCTTGGCTCTTTTTTTTTGTTCCCTAGACCGGAATAGAGAAATCTTTGTTCTTGGCTCTTTTTTTTGTTCTCTAGATTGGAAATTTAGCTCGCCGAACTAGAATGTTTAGCGATGATATCAATGGATTGCTTCCCAATTATCAACTTGAAACGTCTAAGGCGTATTTAAATATCACGTATAGTTGAATAAATATGAATGAAATATGCATAATGAAGCATATCTTATTTCATTATCCAATTCTTTTTATAAATAAAAACAAACTAAAATAAGAGTGACATAAAATATGCATAAGAATAATACTACGATGACAAAGAAATGTGAAAAGAATAGAATGAAGATGATGAAAAATCTTCGAGTTATCTTTACTGATAACAGAGAGATAAGTAGTTATCAGTGGCCAGAATAGAAACGAGAAAAGAAAAAGAGAGAGAGAGAGAGAGATTTTGCTAAAGACTATAAAATGGGTCTAGCAATGTATGAAATCAAAAATCAACAAGTGTAGAAATTTATTATCACAAAAGCATCTATTTGAAGGATGAAAATTGGCAAATTCCACAAAATTACATAAACCAGTTGTGATGATCATCAATGTAGATGAGGTCGGAGGTCATTGAGAAGAAATTGATAGTGTTTTTGGACATTTTGTCGCAATATGCAGACCTGTATGTGTGTGTGTATGTATGTGTGTGTGTGTGTGTGTGTGTGTGTGTGAAATGTGATACTTACTTTACTATAAGGCCATAGGTTCATGATTGCGACAATTTATTAATCATATTGAAAGTAAATGTTAGATATGATCTAAGCTGAGTTAGGGAAATTATTTCCTAACTTTTAGATTAAATCAGTTACCTGTCTGATTGTTATGGAAATAAGCAACATTGGCTAATTGTATCAGCTAATCAAGGTTTTGCTAATTGTTTGTCAGGTTGTAAACGGCAAAGTGATAAGAAATTCAAAGAATTTGAAAACGCTACAAATGTCGCAATCTGTACAAATAAACAAGCTCCTCTACTTCATATAATGTATTAGTTTCCAACCGATGGTCTGATGATAAAACTAAAATATGGTCCGTGAGAGTGAGAAGCAATGTGTAGAAAACAAGAGAGGCTGTTCTTATCAATGTTTGATAAACTAATACGTTGACAGTTTTAGTTAAAGTTTATTTTCATATCAATAAAATTTATGATTTCTGAAAGTTGTGGTCATTACTACAAATGAAAAAGTCAAAAGTGGTCTCTGGTCAGGAAAAAGTTGGGAACCATTAAATGTAATGAGTAAATGTTGACGATAGAACCGAAATTCAGCTTGATGCAAAAGTTTGTATACAAATGTTGAGTTGAAAGAGACAGTTTGGTGTGCGACAGAGAGGATGTAGTAAGCAGTCTCACAATCGATGGATTATTTAATTTCAATGAAGTGGCTGATTCCCCTAAATTCTGCTTTCTATCTCAGGTATAGATGGTGGTGACTGTCCCATTAGCTTATGTCAATATGGTCAGATAATGGTTTGTGATCGGAGAAGATTTCAAATAGTATTATTCCTTTGAAGTATTTGCTGAAACATTTAAAATTTCAATCACATGAATCATCTTTTCCAATTCAGAATTTTTCCATTTTACATTTATATTTCCCAACCGAATTGATGTTTTCAGTCACATCCGGAAGGTTAAAGTATTTCCACTATGTGATTATATTATCATTAAACGATAATAAATAACGGGAAATCTTTTAGCCGGAAAGCAAACAGGAACCGGAAACTTTCTTCCGATACCAAAAAGATCTAATGCTTTTTTTACGGCTAAATTATCAATGATTATAACGAGAGATGATTGCCATTTGTTACAATTATCAATAATATCATGCGATAAACAAAACAATGGGGCAGTTTTATTGCTAATAAAACTGATAAATACTCAATTATAAGGTACAGCTTAAAAAATTTCAAGCATTTCATTCAAAATTAGAAATGATGAAAGGCTATAAAAGGAGAACTTAAAATAAGATTACTTGCGTTCAAGTTGAAAATTTAAATTACAACTTAAGCAAATTTCAGAAATTTCAAATTTGAAACTTCATGAAATTTTGCTTTAATAATAAACTATTTTCAGTAATTCATTTCTTAGTTCCACAAATCCACACTTCTTTTTTTTTTTGAAATAAACGCAAAAAATTTTTGTCGTACATTTTTTATAGAAATACGTGAGGCGATAATATGTGACAAGAGTTATATGTGTACTGATATCATTAAAAAACAGGTTGAAGGACTTGTAAGTCATCCAATTACGTCTACTCTTAGATCATCTCACGTATTTCAAGTAAATACTGAAGTATCTCTTCATTTAAAGTGAGCAGAATTAAGCAGATTGAAGTTGTTGTTTGAAAGAAATACAACTAATATGGCAGTAAAAAGGATAAAGATTGGAAATAGCATAAACAAACATTGATTTATTTTCATTTAGCAATCAAAAAGTATGCAAATTAGAGAGCCAAGTTTACAATAAAATGTCCAAGAAAGTCATAAAAGCCAAGTAAGAATATTTAGGCATTAGGCACTTTTTCGTAGTACATTTTCACAGATAAAAAAAGGCACAAAAGAAAAAAAGCAAGCGATAGCATTGAAATTATTAAATAATGCTTTAATAACATGGCAGTGAAATTCATTTTATTCATGATGGCATGAAAAATTGTTTAAATTTAAAAATTGAAACTTAAATTTCTGCAAAATTAGTGTAATTTTTTTTTTGCTAGAATATTAAGCAACCTAAGGTTATCAGATAAAATATCAATCTGATAGTTTAGTTTATCGAACGATCGTGGTGACAAATCGATTTTTGTATTTATGTCGCTTACAGGCTGTTCATTCTTATTCTCTTCATTTTCCCTATATTTTTCCGGAAAGAAAAACTTTGCATGAAAATATTTTGATGGATTAATACAAAAAATGACCGAAACAAATCAAGTTGATCAGTCAAGCAAAGAACAACGATTGAACGACAAAAAATTTAGGAATAAATCAAAGAAAAAATTAATTTCAATTTGATTTTAAATTTAAACTGACATTATTATTATTATTATTATTATTATTATTATTGTTATTACTACACTTCGATTGTCCAATAAAATTTGTATCAAATTAAGAAATAAGTCCGTTGAATAATTGCGGAATTGAAAAAAAGTTTCTACAAAGTAAGTCATGATTGTGGAATCAGCAAAGGACATCATTTCTAATAGTAACTTGTCTCATGTGATCTGGTCGTAGTGGACAATTCATTACGCCTTCGCTCCATTCCACCGTGTCCATATCCCGTTGGTTCAAAATCACGTCGTGTAGAAAGCTGTCAAAATTTAATTTGATTTAATTTCCTGTTAAAAAACAATTGACTTTTTCAGCAATTCAAACAAGCAAATCAACCAATTTCAACGGAACTTTCGTTGTCAAACAATTCTGTTTTCCTGTTTTGCTACACAATTAGCAAAACTGACCATTACTACTGACCAACAAAAATGTTCCTAAAGTTTTTCGCTTAATTAATAGCTGTTATCCAATCTTAATTAATCAATAAATACATGGCAATGTATCTTTCCAGCTTCTCTCAAACTTACCTAAATATATAATCATATATTAGGACATCAACATATTCTGTTATTGATGCAGTAAATAGGTACTCATTAAGATATCAAATTACTTTTAAAAGTAAGTGATTTAACTAATTTAATTATTAGCAAGTCATTTAGCATGTTAAGCTATATTCCGTATTTGTTTCAATCTTCTTATATGTAGGCCAAAGTTCAATCCTTTTTGTATGATATATTCAACATAGTTTAAAAAAAAAAAAAAAAAAAAAAACCTTAGGTGGTTCTGTCAAAGACGGCGTCATCAATTTCATCCTCTTGACTATATGCTTCTTTTTCATCATAGTCGTCTGCCTAAAATAGGGACAAATATTAAATGATAATAACTATCCGTTATCATTATTCAGCCATCATCACTATAAGTAAGAATTAACAAATAAACGATTATCTAATAACTTTTGGAAGTAAAACGGTCCATTTTACCAGTCAATTAATTAATTAATCATTTGCATTTAAATCAATCAATCAATCAATTAATCAATCAGTTATTCAATCATTCCGTTGCATGAGACAAAAGTAATAGGAGGTTCAAAATCAATCAGGTGTGTAGGAATCTTTAAATTGACAATGTAGGTGACAATATCAAGTATTTGGCAGTAAAAGTTATTATTAATAGGTGTTATTATTAATAGGTGGTAAAAGACAATAAATGATAACAATTATTATCAAAATTTATTTGGTGTCTTGGAAATCACGGCATCTTTAATTAAGACTCAATCAAAATTCCACTAAACAATGAGAAATTAATAAAGTAATATAACAAAAAACAGTACCACTTGACGAGTAGTTCGGGTAGCTGTGTATTCACGTGACCCACTTTCACGTATTGTACCTCTTCCACTCCCACCTATTCGTGATGTTGACTCACTCCTTGGATACTGTTGTCCTGCTACTGATTCTGAAGAACGCACGAAACGTTCCGGTTCGCCTGCATGTTGTTCGGATTCGATTTCAATTGGAGAT